GATAGATAGATAGATAGATAGATAGATAGATAGATAGATAGATAGATAGATAGATAGATAGATAGATAGATAGATAGATGATAGATAGATAGATATAGTTTTATAGTTATAGTTATAGATTAGATATAGATATATAGTTTTATAGTGTAGTAGTTTTAGTTGTAGTTATAGATATAGATATAGATATAGATATAGATATAGATATAGATATAGATATAGATATAGATATAGATATAGATATAGATATATAGTTTTGTAGTGTAGTTGTAGTTTTAGTTGTAGTTATAGTTATAGTTATATAGTTATAGATACAGTTACAGTTACAGTTACAGTTACAGTTATAGTTATAATATAAAACTTATATGTACAGATAAAAGAATCACAACAAATATGTGAAAGAAGAGTAATGTGTTGCGAAGATGGGATGTTTGCATAAACAAAATATTTTTTTTAAAAAAAAAGAACAGTAAAAGAGAATAATAGATGGAAAGGATATGTTAAATGAGATCAGCTTGGGGAGGCAAATAATGATATTGTTTATCTATTAGGAAAAAAAATTAAATTAAGCGGGAGAATATGGAATAAACATAAGAGGACTGAAATGGAAATAGGATGCAAAATGGAATATGCATAATAATAGAAGATGTAAAGGGAAGGGGAAAAAACAGGACAACACTCTGTTCATAAAAGAAGTTTAAACAATTAAAAAACAACAGGGGTCGACTTGGGAGGAAGGCCAGAGGTGGACAATGAATGGCCCCTCCCAGAGGAAATAAATAAATAAAGAACTTTGTTTGGGGGGGGAGGAAAGCCCCATCCTCTCCATGACGCCAGGCCAGTGAAGCGACCCCCCCCCTCCGTGGTGGGCAGAAAACAGGGGTGCTTTCTATGCCCCCCAAACACTAGGAGCATTGTGCAGGCCGCGTTCCTCCTCCCTCGAGGGCTTGCAAGTGGCATGAATTCGCTTGCCGGGGCCAAAAACCTCTCCAGGATTCTGAAGAGGCGTTTTGGTGAAATGTCAAAACGCCCAGCGCATCTGGACGGCGCGAAGCCCTTTGCCAAAGCGTCTTTTCCCAGCTGGAGGCATGGCGGGCCACATCAGGCTTCCTGGATCAAAAGTCCCGAAATGTTTAGGGAAGGGCGGAGGGGGGGGAAGGGTTGATTGGAGTTTTTTCTGAGAAGGAGGAGGAAAAACATCCATCGGTTGCTTTCATGGTTGCCTATTCTCAAGACTGGGAGGTAGAGAGGGGAGAACATCACCCTAAAAGACACAGCCCTGAATAGACAGTGGGACCACCAACAGGGGCAGGAAATAAATAGAGGATATAAACAGAGAGGAAACCCCACTCCCTTCCAGCACTGATGGTGTTACCTAGTTGGGTCCTGAAATGCCTGCAAGGAAACCACCCAGTTCAGAGAGCACCAAGGACCCCACAGTCATCCTCCTTTCCTCCTCCTACTCTTCCTCTGATGCTCGCGCGCACAAGTGACGTTTCTGCGCATGTGCAGAAGCATCCGGGCAGGTGAGTGGATCCTCTCGCCGCCACGACTACCGGTTCTCCCGATCCGGGCCGAACCGCCAGCAACCCACCTCTCCTCCGCACTCTACTCCCTTTTAACACTGATGGTGTTACCTAGTTGGGTTATGAAACATCCGCAAGGAAAGAACCAAGCTCAGAGAGCACCAAGGACCCCACAGTCCTCCTCCTCCTCTTCCTCCACAAACTCCACTCCCTTCTAGCACTGATGGTATTACCTAGTTGGGTTATGAAACGTCCGCACAGTCCTCCTCCTCCTCCCCCCTCCATTCCACAAACCACTCTCCTTTCCAGCACTGCTGATGTTAGTGGGGCGGGGAGGGAATGGGGATGCCGCAGTATCCTTCCCCTGCCACGCTCATATAGCCACGCCCACCAAGCCGCCGCCACGCCCACCAAGCCACGCCCACAGAACCGGTAGTAAACATTTTGAAATCCCACCACTGGGTCACCCATCATTCCTCCTTCCAAAACTACAATTACCCAGCTTTCCCCGGCCAGTAAAAGAGAAGGAACGAAGAAGGACGTTTGAGGCGGTTCTCCTTACCTGTCGCAGGACGAAGAGATGGAGTCCTCGGGATGACACTCGCAAGGAAGGCAGCGTGGGTGAGGCTGCCCGAGATGGTAGCCCTCTTCACATCTGTCGCACGAGGGCCCTGTGTAACCTGGGCGGCAGTGACAGTGACCCGTGGCGTTGCAATCCCCCACGCTTGTGCTTCCGACGGAGCTGCAGTTACAGAAGACATCTGCAAGGAGAGCCAAGGGAAACGAAACCTGAAATTAATTACAGGATGACTGGAGAATTATATTTCATCTTTTCTTTTTCTTTTTGGCTACAGTTGAGTCATTGTAGACAACATCCCTTACCCCATAAATCAATTTGGAGGCTGTAGGAGAAAAAGTCGGTGCTATCCTAAATCAAATGCAATCCTAAGTTCCTTATTTCCTTATTTCCAAGTTGAACCTTATTTCCTTATTTCCAGGTTCAACCTTGTCCAGTTTCCATCGGTTATTCCTTGTCTGGCCTTTGGGTGTCTTGGAAAATAGCTTAGAAGGAAGAACTGTCTACCATTCAAGAATGGACATTAAAAGTAACAAACTTAGCAGAGATGGCTAAAATATCAGCATATCTTAAGGACCATTCAGACGAGAAATACAAACTGGAATGGAGAAGATGGATTGATTACATTCAAAATAAATATGGGACTAAGAAATTCCAGATAGTTTATGAATGACTGAGCAAGGAATGTTACAATTTATCTAAAGTT